TTGCCAAACTATACAGCATCATATTCTAGAGGGCTATAATCTTAATACTATGAAACCCCTATTTAAGGTTTCTTATGGGAGCAGTGGGTTTGAACACTGAACTGGGGTAAATCTTACAGGGAGGTAATTTAACACTGAAGTTTTTGACATGGGATTGTTGAAGTTGAATGTTAAATGAGGGGAACTGTTAAACTGAGGCATGTTAAATGGGGATTCCATGGTATTCAGCACTGTGGGAATCTTAAATCTCATAATATTATAATATAATATTTATGATTCTGTATTTCAGCATCCCATTGCAATTGTTCAACTTAATGTCCATTATTTATCATTCGTCAATATTGCAACACTCTTCCATTCACCACTCAATTTTTAGTTTAACATTATACACCTCGACCTTACATGTTTCGGCCCCAAACGGCCATCTTCAGGTGTCTTGATATGTTCCAAATATTTTATTAGACTATGTTAAAACTGCTGCACTGTCGAAATAAGACGGGTAGCATTTGATTTGATATTGTCACGTGCTTATGACTAGACACAGGGTTTGGATTGGTAATTGGATTTATTGGACACTTATGCTTGTAACTACAAATAACTACGACATTCTCACTGAGTTACCCACTCCAAACATCACTGTGACTACAGTACATATAAAGTCTTCTCAGCCTTTACTAGCCGTTGCCTGGTGACAACTTCCAGTGGCAGACATTTTCCACTTCCTCTGGGTTCCCAAACTATCCCCGGCCTCAGCTACCAGCTTCTCACTCCCCAAAACTGCAGTTCTCAACTGACTGAACCATTAGCTTTTAAGATTTACTTTATGAGTGGCGGTTTACCACCAGTCACTTTGTTTTGATGTCAAGCCCCTTGAGACTCAACAGAATCCTTGCGGTCATAGTCCTTATATAACATCCTCTCTGATGAGAAGATGACTTTGTCACTTGTGAGTGTGCTTGGCCTGGGCCAAGTGTAGGTATGCACATATAGCATGTCATTGAAAATTATTCCTTTTTCACTATATACAAATCCTCTATCTGGCCAGGCTGATTACCAAATTGCTGCTAGTCCTCCCCAGCACTTATTCTGAACTGATAATTTAATCTGTATACTACTAGAAATTCAGATTTATATGAATATAATACTAGAAGAAAAGAGGACTTCCATGTACTAAGCTGTAGCACATCTACCTCTAAAAAAAGTGTCATAAATATGGGTATTAAAGCTTACAATAGATTGCCTTTGAAAATAAGAAAATTAAATGGATTCAAAGATTTTAAATATAAATTAAAATTATTTTTACTAGATAATCCATTTTATACAATGAAGGAGTTTCTCTTTGAGGGACTGCAGGATGAATAGAGAAACTCTGCTCAAAATCCTAAATGATGATTTGATGATGTGTTTTTATCCTTGATGAGTATGGTTGTGATGGTTACTTTAGTAANAAGGATTCCCGAATGATTGTACTACATGTTATGACTTGTCCATGTGTTACTTTGTAACAGTTACGGATGTTAATAAAGATGATGATGATGATGATGATGATGATAGTCCTCATTATATAGCCCTGGTTCGGACCACAGAGAAAATGTCTCTTCCATTATTCAGTGTTCTCTCATTGCTGGAGAGACAGCATATCCGCAGAGCTGTTCCTTAGCAGCAGCTGTTAGCAGTGGGCTTATATGCCACAGAACATGACACAAGATTTGTCATCATCAAGACTGCCTGTTGAGCCCACTCCCGCCCTGTATAATAGCGCTTTCCATGGTGATAAAATAGCTGTAATACATGACCTGCCCACCTCATCCTCCTTGACTTGATCATACTAATTATACTTGGAGAAGAGTACAAGTTATGAAGCTCCTCATTATGCAGTTTTCTCCAGCAACAATATTGTATAGCGTTAGCAAAATCATGTATTCTTGTTCTAGTTTTGAAATTCGGTTTTGTTATGTCACATCAACTGCTTTGTGCTCACGCGTGTATGTGTACCTGCGTGATATCAAGGTTGGGCTGACACTTCGTGGCTTTCCATGAGGTTTTAGTCTCGAGTGTTCAAGTTTTACTCACGGATGGCGCTAAGTTTTTATTTAATTTTTTTTCTTGTTAACCCTCACTGATTTAGCTTGGTCTCAAGTGGTTAAATAGCCGCGTGATATTAAGGTTGGGCTGACACTCAGTGGCTTTCCAAGAGGTTTTAGCCTCGAGTATTCAAGTTTTGCTCCACAGATTGCTCTAAGTTTTTATTTTACGCTGTTTTACGTTAGTCCCAAGTGATTAATGTTTAACGGCCGAAGTGCCCCGATCTAGCCAGTGATGAGTATGATCGTCGTGGCCGAAGTACCCCGTTTCGGATAGTCCGAAATTTAAACTTTGCTAGTACAAGCGCATGCCTGTCACGGTAGCCGAGCAGTCTAAGGCATATACTGTCTTCGCTCGCTTGGAAACCGAGATCGTGGGTTAGAATCCCACTTAGGGTATGGATGTTTAGTTTGTGTGTGCGTTTGCTATCTCACTTCATCGTTGACCACAGACTTCACACTGCCCCTAAGGTCCTGTTGTAACTCACACGATAGTCCCCAATAATATCCTACTCTCATAACGTCTGTCACAGCGTCACTCATAATTTTGTTACTCTCTGGCTTTAACTCACTCCACTCAAGCCACATACACTGAATTACGAGATCCCTCTAATTAATGCTAACGAATTCATTCTCTAACTTCAACTCAGTACATCTTTAACTCACTCTTCTCTTTATTTCAGAACTTCTCTTACTGAACCCTTCACTCCAAGTCCTCTATTCTTTGACTACTCAGCTCACTCCAACTGAGTCCCCCCGCATTTTCTAATTGAGACTGACTACAGTACACGCAAGGCTTATGTTCAGTTGGTAAACAAAAATGTGGCAGAGAAAGCTCTGTAGAATCACAAAGATAGAAACTGGCATTTCATGGATAAAAGAGTTGCAGTGGTTGGGTCGTATTAAAACAGTGGATGTAATCGGACAACATTGTAGGTGTTTGGAATTATAGGTTAAAAGGTAAAAGATTCGAGTGAAAACACAGATTAAGGTAAAATATAAGGAAAATTCAGCAAATCTATCTCTATATAAAGAAAGAATTCCTTCCTTCAGCATCAAAGTGTTCAATAGCCTTCCTCAAAGTCTCAAACTACAACTACTAATATTAGGCAATTTAAAACAGCATTGAACTTGATTTAGTTGTTGACCCACAATAGTAGATCAGGCAGCAAACATACCCATTTGTGGAATCAGCAATTATGCATACATGAAGCCCCCACTTTGTTGGCATTTGTGGATTGTACATTTTGAAAGACACCTCCTCAAAATGTGATAGATAAGTAGTTCCATTTGAGAAAGGTGCCTAGAAAAAATGGATCAGCCACACACATACTACACAACTGTGAGTGTATAGCTTTCTTAAGATTTGTCAATACTTTATGGAGCCAGGTGATTACCAAGATGCTGCAGTAAGCAAGACACTACACATCATTCAAAGTATAGGTTTATTGAAGGGCTGAAACAGAGAGGGATGCACAATAGATAATTGATTTTTGCAATGCAAGGGCTGGTCAAGGCCTACCCCTTATTCATTCATCGTTCATTCATACAGAGCACCTGGAAAGAAGTTATTGTAACAGAATTTTTAAAACTGCTCCTTAATTTAAACAAGTGAATACTCAGATAGTACCTCAAATTCCCTCTAAAAAATATAATAATTTTTTTATCTCATTGGTGCTGCAAGATCTCTACAATTGTTACATTTAACTGCAGTCTTGTAGTCATATCAAATAATGTATGCCTCTAAGAGCTTCATTTACCAATATATTTGTTTCAAGAAGATAGAGGAAAGAAAGAAATGGAAATAGGTAAAGACATTAAGGAACCAATGATTTCATTTAGGGTATATACATACTGTTTCTATATCTAATTACAGAAAATCAGTTTCCCTCTACTATACTATACTATACTAAATATGTAGTTTGGTTCTGTTCTGCAGTGCCCGTTTCTTGCAAAAATTGTGCAATAGTGATTCCAGTCTTTATACTCTGTATCTTCATCATTTACTGAAACAGCAGAAGGCAATGCACGGTTCTGTGATGTGATTGACAAGAATAAACTGATCCTTTAGCAAAATCTATGAATGGCTTCTGCATTCTACTGAAGCATTTTTGGACCCACATTCTTATAAAACACTGTCATGTGTTTATGGCTGCATGACTAATAATAATGGGTTCTGGATGGATGATTGTATTTATTAAAACCTTCTTTTACAATCTGTCTTAATCACAATCAATTACAGCTACCCACATCACAAATCACTAGGAATATATTTCATAAAATAGAAGGAAATACAAAATACAAGAAAATGTGTATATGCAGTATGGTTTCTACTGTTGCTCAATCTGTGACTCAACATAATGTAGTAAGTTCATTACCTACATATCTGCAGTAAGTGAACATGCAAAACCAAACAAGGAATATAACATCACCAAAATTTGGAAACTATGCATTTAAATCTGGAGCACACCCCTCTGTTCTTATCAGGAGTGTGAAGTGGACAAGTTTGGGAAAAGATAGCTACAGTTTATTTTAAAGTGCTATCCTAGTATTTTTCCAAAAACGTATAAAAAGAAAGCAGGCTTAGATCAAATCCAGGAACTATTAAAATGTGAGTCATTCATAATCTGAGCACAGCCTAATCACTTAGTTGCAAGAACATTTCATTGGTGAGTCCTTTTGCACTTGTCATTGATTTGTATTTCTCTTAATAATATATACATGAAAAATACGAATAAATTTTATAATGATTTATTATGTAAGATAAGCAGTCAAGTATACACACTTTTTACAAACTGAAATAAATTATGTCTTGAAGACCAAAACCTTAGAAGCCATAAATACATTTTACAGAGTCTGAGATTTACAGGTGTATTAACAGTTGTACATCATGATAATATTTATTGCCCAGATTTAAAAACTAATCAATTTCATTTTTCTTTTCAAGTGTTAAATCAGATTTGGATACCAAATCCAATCAACAATATTACAATTAATGTCAGTTTAACTTTAGCAGAATACGGTTCAAATTAAGAATAATTTTTATGCCGTTGTGTTTAAAAGTAGGATATGTTTCTAGTGATATATAAAAATCAGTTTGCTTAGTAAAAATCAGAATTGTAGTAGAAAAAAACAAACCTTTAGAAAAAACTGGAAAACATGAAGAAATAATCCATTATTAAAAAACTAAATAGTTATACCTACTTTCAGAGCAGATCTTTTCATGTAAAAGCATAACAATTAATGAGATTTCTTATTGCATTGAAAGCAGTTTCATGAATGCTTTGATATTTTGCAATAGAGAAAAATAGATTGACCATGAAATAATCAGATACAAAAATGTTTTATTTTCTCAGTATAGTACATCAATGTTAATCAGGAAGGCATTCATCGTTAGTATGATCGTGATAGGTTGATTTTTGGTCTTCTCTCAGGATTTGGGTGCACTGGTTTTTGAACCCTTGGCATGGTTTCTGTTGGAACTGAGATCACACATCCATTAATCAGGCTGGGCCTCTTCCTGTTGAGAAGGAATAAGCAGTTGTTTATAATACTGACAACTGAAACAAAAAATACACTAAAATTCAGCCACAGATGTTATTTGACAAAGCCTAGTCCTGGTCAGATTCTTGATTGAATAATTCAGTTCTGTTACTGGAAGTGTGTGAAGAAGTAACTCAACTGAAAATATGATTTTCTTTAGACTGGTACATACAGATTGACAGCAGGTTCCAAGACCTTCTGATGATGTATCAAAAGCAGAGGTTATTTAGCATTAAATAAGATGAAATAACTGGAAATACCTGGGAGGGATGTGATCATGATCTATTTTGAGGTCCTATCCAGACACTTTCCTGCTAGATATCTCAGCTGGGATAGCCAGCGCCTGAGCTGATACTTAACTGTTTGCCACCTGGGTACTAGACAGGCATGTTAGTGTTAAACAAACCCTCCCTATATGCTGATATAAAGATGTGTTAAATTTTACACAAGATTTAGCTAATTCTGTACCTAATACGATTATGTCAAGAAATTAAAAATGAAAACATTGATTTTTTTACCTTCCAGTGTTTACATACCAACAGATGAATTTTGCATGCATCACTTGTTTTTCAACAACTTTTGAACACAGAAGATTTATTCATTAAAAAGTCTGAAAATTCATATACCAGTATTTTTCTTTCACTGAGTGGAAATACATGGGATGATTATATCAAGTTATGGAAGCTAAATATATCAGTAAAATGCAGTCATGGCATTAAATGAATTGTGTGTTTCAGTGTCTCCAGTTTATATTAAAGTCAGAAACTGGGAAAGTGGGGGGGGGGGACATAAAGACAAACCAAACAAAATGAAAACACTGTCAGGTGTAACTGGCAAGGCTTGGAAATAATATGTTTCAGAAACAGAGAAGAGAGAAGGAAGTGCAAATCAAACGTTTTGAAATTACTTTTTAATTTCAATTTTAGGAAGATGACTTTAGATAATCTAACAAACCTGCTTGCTGCTGGAGTATTTAGAAAACTTGAATGCGGTGGTTCTCTCTGTCGCATACTAGAATATTGCCATTGGACATGACAGCGATCCCTTCCAATCCTTTGAACTCCCCGTCCCCTGATCCCCAGCATCCGAAAGCCCGGAGGAATGTCCCATCTGGATGGAAGATCTGTATGCGATTGTTGCCTGAGTCTGCCACGAATATATATCCTTGGTCGTCCACAGCTACTCCTCTGCACAACAGAATGCACACTTATATTAGCTTTCAATAGATTTTTGAAATAATGGTCCCTCAGACAGGAAATATAAATATCGTATGTTGAAGAATAAATAAAGATGCATTTATGAAATTAAAAATACACGTGATTACCCTGTGTTGACTGAATGTGAACGTGAACTCTATATATAGAGTATCACAACTCACATTCACAACTCCCATTTAGCCAGTTTAAAATCATGTGTTGTAATATTTGTTTCTTTTATTGAGAACCTATGAAAAAGTAATGGATTCTCACAGTAATTTAATATTCATGTGCAGAGTCCTTGACATAAAACCGTTAAATAAACCATGAATGAACAAATTTATGAGCATATTATTTTAATATAATGCTGTATAACATGAGCCATATTTTCAGACAGTCAAACTTATTAGTAGAACTGTCAAGAACTATAATGTGGAAGAAACTATAGATGAAACTCAGGTCATAAAAATTCAAGTGCACCGGGTCTTAGTAAAAAGCCTTGGCAGTTGAAGTATGCAAAAACTGTTTTGTTATTTCAATAATATAAAGGTGCTGGAATTGTTCAGAATGCTGGAATCTTAGACACTGAATTCAAGCATAATTAAGAGAATTATTCAGTACATAAACACATTAAAAATATCCTGGGTTAAATACATTTAGTATCATATTACATATAGTCTTAAACATGCAACATGATACAATGAAAGTGGTGAAGCTTGAAGGGATCACTTATGAAGCAAAGATGTAAGACAAAAAAATATTGAATATGAATGGAGAATCAAAGCGAAAAAGGATTATATAAATTGTATGGAACTTCATATGATTATAAGGAAAGCTTCAGAAATAAAGTTGGATATCTGATGAAACGCTGGAGAGACAGTGTGGGGCATGAACCAAGCAAGAAGGAATACTACATGGTTCAAACAGACAACATAACCTTCACCATACACAAATGGGGAAGTGGAATTGTGTGAGAGCATTTGTTGTGATGGCCACATTGGTACTGCCACTTTATGTTGTGACATCATCTGATACCATGCAGCAGAATCCTTCTTGAGAAACTCACAGTCACTCAGCTGGTGAACAAATTCTGTGCATTCTATGTAATTTGAAAGTTCATTTCCAGGTTGACAAGAGCATGCTATTGGTAACTGGTCTCTACTCTGATCGAGCTGTATCTAATATAGACCCTCACACTCTTAATTCTATTCCATTTTTAGGCCTACATTATTCTACAATTTACACTTAAGTCTCCCATTAAGTCAATTCCCTCTAAGTTTTCTAACTATATTTTGTACCCATTTCTCATCTATTCCATGCTTACTATCCTCCGCACCTGCCTCATCTTTGAAATGAATACTCTAACAATATTTCAAGAGAACATAGTAAGAAGTTCCTCATTATGTAATTTCCTGTATCCTTCTGTTATTTTATCCTTGCGTATGAGAGCCAAAATTACATTTGCCCCAAAACTTTGTAGACTCATGTTATCAAGTGTCATCAAAATATGATGAATGGCTCTGGTGAAGAAACACATGGATAGATGCACTGGCTGATGTGACATAATATATCCATTTGATGCACTCTGCACAAGTTGTACTATACAGAAACCCAACCCACTAAAGAAACTAAGTTCTCCATGAACTTTATATGATTGTTTTGTGACAACGAACTCACATTGAATTTGCATTCATATGTCTAACATTATTGTACTTGGCTGTTAATCTATGAATTGTCAGAATACTTTTGATAATGTATTTGTTGCCCTGAAAGGAACTTGTTTGGAACCAGTCAGAATAATATGAGTTTTACATGTGTATGTCAGACATATGTTTTTTTCTCAGATGACCACTTGAAACCAAGGTTTTTGACTACAGTAGATACTGATAGTAAATGATAACCAGATCACTGTATTTTGTTATTATCTTATCTTCCTGTTATATCCTTCTTAACACATATTTTTTTTATTGCTAGTGGGGTGGGACTAAGTCCCTTGTACTGTGGCCACTTCTGGCCTATTGTACCAGCCCCAGATGATAGGTGAGGGTGATTGTGGAGCAATTGGTGGAATGAAGATTGGTTGGGGAAACCGAAGTGCTCGAAGAAAACACCACAAATTCCACTTTACCAGACCTGGGATCGAACCTGTGCCGCCGCGGTGGGAAGCCAGCAACTAACAGCTTGAGCCATGGTGCTTAACATACCTTACATAAATAATAATATACATAAAACAAAATTACAGGAACTAATCATAAAAAGTGATCCACATTGCATCCTGGCCATATGAAGGACCAGTTCTGAATGAATGTTTCTAACATCTGTATTAAGCCTGAGGAATTTGTTAACAGCTAGAGATTCTGAAGTTGCTTACAAATGTCAGATGCTGTATTTAACAGTATTTACTATGACCCTTGTATGTTTTGTATAAGTCAACTGTTAAGTTTCATTTTAAAATAGAGAGGATAACTTCCTTCTTTATGTGTGCATGAGATCTTATACTTAAAAGCACCTGACTTTCTAGTCTGCCTTTATTTGTTGCTCAAGAGCACCGATGAAAGACGTGTCCTGCCATCTCTTAACACTTAAACTATCTAGCTATACCTTTACAATAAGCGTTATGAATAATACTAAGTGATGAAAATGGTTAATTTTCAGAATTATCTGATAAAGCTATATAATCATAGTAAACGTGTAACATCAGTCAATACTACTATGTAATCAATTAACCATAAAATATGTGCATTTGAATCCAGGTAAGAATCTGATTAATGATGATAACAGTTCTCTCAATCTGTCGAAGTGAATACCAGCATCTAATGATAAAATAAACTATGAAGGTGTCATCTCTGACAGAACTACAGAACATCTGAACTAAAGGAACAAGAACAAATTCATGCTGCTGTGTGGTCTGAAATGTATATTACAGATCACTTTGGCATGGTACTGATGTCTGACATGTTTAAGGGCACAACACATCTTGAAGGTTGGGGCATACGGTAGCGTAGTTGGTTGAGGCACTATGCTACAATCCTGAAGTTTGCGGGTTTAAGTCCTGATGAGGTCACTGAATTTTTTTGCATTGACCTAATCGTTACAGCCGCACTATGGCCCTGGGGTCCACTCAGCCTCTAACAGAAATGAGTACCAGGAATATTCTTGGAATACTCTTGAGGGTAAAGGGCGGCCGGCGCGTAGGGCTGACAATCTTGCCGCCATCTATGAGCCGATTGTCTAGAAAATGTTAGAACCTCAACATCTCACAACCCTATGGGCCTCCACAGCCTGTTATAGGGATACCTAATTTTTTTTTTTACACTTCTTGAAGGTTGAACTCAGCTAATACTGAAGCCTGCCAATGAATACAAAACTGATCCAGTTCTGAACATATCACTGTCTATTCCCCTAAAATGCATCTTAATATTTATCTTCCATCTTCTAATTTATCTTAAAAGCAATCACATTTTATAACAAATTCTCCACTAAAATTCTATGTGCATTTCTATGTTCTGTACCCCAAATACATGCACACTGCCTCATAGCCTTGTAGATTTCACTTGCCTAACAATACTATGTGACCTCTCTAAAATACAAATTTCTTTATTATGAAATATCATAATTACTGGCTTAATTCATCCTTTTTAAGTCATATATTCTTTTGCAATTGGTTGTACATATGTTGGTCCCTCATGGTATGAAACAACATTTTACATGAATATGAAATAACTAGCAAAACAGTTTGATTTTTATTTTCATTAATCTGGAGTAATAACAGTTTCTGAAGAAAATAAAATCAGTAATGATCAGGACTTATTCTTCTTCATGTTTAACCATTATTTCATGTTTCCAGAAGGTATCCAAGACATCTTAATAATTGGTCTTAAGTGTATCTGATATGCATAATATGGTGTTATTGCCCTTTTAACCAGAAGGGGCAGAGAACAGAAACACAGTTTATTTTAACACCATGATTTACATAATATTTCACTGTTTTATACATTTGAAGATAAGAAAAGATCTCAATTCATTACCATCATACATGCTTACACATTATAATTCAAAATAAAGTTAGTATTTTACAGTTCTCACAAGTAATATCAGCATCACTGACATTGTGTTCTCCAGCATTATTTCTTGTAGTGACAATGTTTCTATGAAATGGCAGATCGCGTACTTGATATCCTGTAACAGTGTTTCAATGTTCTTCTTCATTGCAGCTTGCACACAGCTACAAGATGGTACATATTTTAACACTGAGCAGGATATTTCCATTTCTTACTCCTTTTCTAAGTAGCCTGTAGTCAGATAATGGTGTGTTTTATATGCTGCAAAAAGACCCACGAGTTCTAAATCTGACTGTCTTGTTACCCATTCTGCAACAGTGACTTTGAAAACTTATACTTGGAACCAATGTTTGGAATAATTCCTGCCAATTAGCTAACTGGAGGTCAGAATTTAGAGCATGGAGGATATCAGCACCACCAAAGACACTGTAATATTGCTTTGGATGCAATACAGATTCAATTTTCATTATTTTCTTTTCTGCTAGACTAAAAGATCATCTGAAAGCATGCATATATGACTCCATACAATAAATGAACCTCTCACTTGTAAATCCATATTGTGATACAATGATACAGAACATGAGTAGCATACAATGGCTTTTATTCTGCAAAATCCAACTGCTGCAGAAAACATAAATGAACTTAATACTGCTGCAGTCATAAAGTCGTCTTAAAACTGAGCTGAAAAGTGCCAAATACAAGAACTATTTTCATTTGGTTTTCTTCTACCTTCACTTTTCAACTGCCTGTAGAAATGGGTAGTGTCAGGAGGAAAAAGTTCTTGCTTTTAATCTGAGTTTTTGGCAAAAGCTGGTTTTGTATTAAGTCAAAGTTTATTGTTGATGTGTCCATTGGGAACTTGTTCAAATTCTGAAAGAAAGCCTTGGCTCTCAAATGAGAGTTCTTTGTAGTTCCTTGTCTGTAGCAGTCTTGAATGTATGTCAAACAGCCATTGCAAATGACTCACTTAATACTGCCAAATCCAAGATTAAATATGGTAACGAAAATTTTTAAAGAAATCGGTAGGAAATAGATCATGTCATATTATTATTTGTCTTGTACTGTATAATGGTTCAAACAACAAAGCTTCACTATCTCACCTCAAAATAGTAACTAACTTCATGGAGCTGAGTTCTTCTTAAGAAGCCGCCAGTTTTGCAGCCACTCAAGTGTTTATAAACATTTTATGAAAATCAAACGTTCATTACCATGTTCACAAGAGCCCTCCACTGGTCCTTAGCCTGAGCCAGATCAGTCCAGTCCACATCACCTCAACCTATCTCTATAAGACCCATCTGAATATTATCCAACCACCTAGGTCTTGGTTTCCCTAGTAGTCTCTTTCCTTCTGGCTTTCCCAGCAATATTCTACATGCATTCCCCTTCTCCCGCATTCATGCTACATGCCCTGCCAAATCTCATCCTCCCTAACTTGAGCATTCTAATTATACCTGGCAAGTTATGAAGCCTACAGGGTTGTGAGACATCGAAGATCTCACATTTTCTAGACAATCGGCTCATAGATGATGGCAAGGTTATATTCACTATACCGTTTTATCATTGGCAATTTAAAGATTACATGTAGTCGTTTAATCTCATACTTGTTTTGTATCATATCACATTTCACACGTCATTACATGACGTGACGTAAATAAACTACGTCCTGAATCTTATGGTCCATTTATTTCCATCTGTTATCAGTCCCTGAAATCGAAACGCAACAGTTTTTGTTTTTTAATAAAAATGTCAGGAATCACCATTAACATATTAAAATACATGTGTGTTAAATCTAATTGGATTATTGTATTAGGTCTACTATATTTTTATGTCTTAATTGTTCTACCGATATCTATTATATCACAATAGAACTATCCTTACCCTTCTAAATGTTCATTCCATTAACTGAGAAATATTTTGTTCTTGAATATATACGTCACAATAGGACGTACTGGTCACTAAATTATCTCAAAACATGTCGAGTCTGGTACGAAATACAGTGATGTTGCATGGCTGCATGGTATACTCGTATGTCGTGTAATGAAGTTTCTTCCTGAACTAATTTTCGATCAAGTAAAAATTTAACTAGACATTTAAAAAGGCTTTCAAGTAAAGTGACATCTGATTGATCGAAGCAACAAAAATACTTTTATGGACTTGAACTTCATTAAGGCGTTCTAATGTGAATTTTTATGGAAACCAGCAGAGCTTGCATCTGTTCTATGGAGCAGCTAAACCAATACCTAATTTCTGCTTCGTTAGGAAACAAACCCAGCTATGAAGTTGGGTTGTAACGCCGTGCATTTCGGTAGAAGTCTACCGACGTTTCGGGAGGAACGTAGTGCCTCCATCTTCAGGGGCGAAGTATATGCGTTTCCCATGCTTCTTTCTGGTTTCCTGTTTGGGTTACCCTTCGAAGGATGTGATACGTTGCTCGGAAATTCTTGCGACTCCTATCGAAATACACGGCATTAGAATTCAGGAGACTGCGCTCTTCACCGCTGTGACGTCAGATCCAACAAACTCGTGAAAATTTACGAAATCTGTTAAATTTAAAAACTGCTTTCAGTGAATATACAACTACATATAGAGCAAGAAATATCCTATTAGATACTGTCCTCTTCGCTCATCATAATATGTTGAATAACTGCATACTTTCGGGAACTTTGACCGATGTTTCCATTTCCTACGATTATAAGTGTGTATTCACAAGACTAGATTACAACAAAATTAAATGCTGCAAATATTATAAGCGAAAATCGAAAGCTCAAAAAGAAATGGCTACAAAATACACAAACACAGACATAGAGAATAAAGATAAGGTATACTACAAAAGCTGATGTATACACCATTGTGATGAACAGATTCTGAAAGGAAAGAAATTTAAAATACAGAAATATCAATCTAGCTTAATTGCGCTGATTTTCATGATAATGATGAATTCCTATATCGATGAAAAGAGAATCCGTGAATATTCGAATGAAAATGCAGATGTATGGAACTACACGACATGGATCTAAAAAGTGTTGTTAAAGAACACGAAAGCATGCATATTTCAGTTAGAACTAGAACAAAGATAAACAAAAATAAGTCGACAGCTTTGCTTGTATTTCTCACACAAGTTTCGACATTAGTTCACTAGTCAGATTACTGAACAGAATATAACATGCTCTCCATCTCAAGCAAAGCAATACAATTAGTGCTGTTACATCTGTTATCAGCCAGCTTCATGGTCCATACCCTCCGCAATGTGATTATGCTAGTCTTGGAGGGGAGTTATAAACTACAATTTGTATTGAGTGGAAAGACGGTTTAAAACTTCAGTGTGGTATAGAGGATTATGATGGTAACTGACTGCTTTGCATTCAGATACGCCCTTCTTCAAGATATCACATATATCGGTATAATATAAGCTTGATAAAGAAAAGTATTAATTTTTTCCCACTGCGCTATCTCTAGGATAGGCCACGATATCTTTATCGTTCCTTCATAGCTCTGAAACAATTCTTTATATTCATGAAATATAGTAAAGTATTTTTGTTTACATTTTAAACTGAATATTGCACTCACGTATACTATTATAAAACTCTAAGTAGGACATTGGGAAAAAATAAAGAATTTGTTACATAAAACTCATAGATGATGGATTAGTATTAATATTATAAATGTTGGAAATCGTAGATAACCTTCACATTTAAACATGTCAATCATCCGGAAAATATAACCGACTGACATTTTCACTGAGATATTTTTACTTATTTCTCTGCAGAGAATCTGCCACGTTAAGATTTAGCAAAAGAATTCCGTTATAAGAGTTAACCTTATAAAATTATAATTCACGTGTATGTAACTCATATACTTACATATTTAATGGTTAGCGCTTATGTTATGAAAATGGTCATAAAACTATCTAGTGGGCACTGACATGCGAATATACACAAACAAATATTGTCTTTAATTAAAGCTACCGAAATTACATGCGTGAGACATGCTTTTTGGTTAGAAAAGAAAATTACAATATAAGAAGTTAATTATGAATCATCTTTTGTATAAATACTAAAATAAGTGATGTAAGGAATGAATTAAAAATGTTCAAATTTTGAAAATAGAAGATACATTAAACGAAAGCAGACTATAAATCGAGATATAGCAATTATAAAATCGAAATGCAGACAGGTCAAAGGACCTTGTCTGGGATTTTTATGATTGCAGTATAAAGAATTGGATAACAAGACAAGAGTAGTAATGTATTGCCGAAGAATAAAATAATTTCTAGACTCTTAAAGGGAAAGAAATTTATTTAACAGAGGTTGTACACAGAAAGTAGAATGTATATGTATATAAACTTATTTTATTATATGAGTCCCGCTTCTATTAAAGTTAGGAATCATTTTCTAAGCTTCGTTATCTGCAGTGAACAAAGCGTAACACATTTACTTACCTTGGGAATTTGAATTGCCCCTCTTCGGAGCCCTCACTGCCAAATGTGGTGAGCACTCGGCCGTTGACATCGAAAATTTGAATTCGATGATTGTTGGAATCGGACACGATGACCCGATTAGTGCTGGATACAGCAATGTAATGAGGGTGCTCTAACTGGCCGGGCTTACTTCCACACGACCCGAATTTACCGACAAATGTTCCATCCGACTGGAAAACCTGTACCAGGGAAAATATTATACTGCAAAACACATACAAATTGCAGTTCAAAAATGTACCTTCTCTTGATTATCTACAACGTCAGTAGGGCTGCTTCATGAATGTGTGATCAGGGCTAGAAATTCTGAACCAAATGTTACGCAGCAATAATTATTCGTGGCAGCAATGATAAAAATGATTTGTTATAATTTTAGTACAAATAAACATCGTGGCTGCATGCTTAAAATGCAGAAGACTCAATATTTGTGCATGTAAACAAGACGCCAGAGAAGTTCATGGAGGTAGGCCTAGGCCCACTGGGGC